TTTTTTTTCTAATGTTGCTTTTAAAACGTTCGATATAACTCTATTCCCGTTGTCATAGTTTTTCTTTTAATGCACCACCAGTGTTCTCTATAGACCACACGTCGGTTAATTTTGCCACATAAGTTTTTGGATAAATTGATTTATAAAGAGTATGTTTAACAGCACTCAAAACCACACGTTTATTTCTGATCTTAATCATCTTGAAAAATAAAATTTTGTAAATTACTAATGCTTTAGCTGTTTTTCGTGCTACGATAGTTTGAATGAATTTTGCATATACGTTATGAATAAAATACATTCTCTTACGGCAGTTACTAGTTTATGGTCTGATGAGTTTTAACCATTCATTGACAAAAAAACTGGAGGCTGTTCAGTGATTTTTATATTGAATGTGTTAACATAACTCATGGAAAAATTTGAAAAATAGTACATGATGGTCCTGTTTCAGATTCTCATGCATATTATAAGCTATAGACATGGAACTTTATATTTATCTATTACTAACTATATCCAATAATCTGCCACAGTTCCTTTGTATTATAGGGGAGAAAATTCGAAAGCTGCTTTACATTGTGCACTACAAGAAAAGAAAAAAAAACACTTACTATATATGGATCATCTGATAATTGATCATTGATAATAAATGCTTGATCGGTTGTTTTTCTTTAGAGGTTTTCGTTTGTTTATCAGGATTGTTCAGAAAAATGTCAGTATCTCATTTTGTTCATTTTCGATCCCTTTCTATTCCTGTACATCCTTTAATGCTTTTACCCGATCTCTTCCTCCATGAAGGACATCACTTTTTGATAAGTAGTTCTTTTCGATATTGTAAATATTCATCCGAAAATAAAGTGAACCCCTGAATGTTTAGAGGCATTGTAGGGTGTGGGTGGGTGTGGGTGCGGCTGTGAATGTATTATCTTCACAAAGACTCACATCCACACCCACACCCACATCCCGATGAATCTGTAATCGTCAATGCGAGTGTGAAGAACAAAAAAAGGATTATATCTTGTTCAGTTAAAAGAAAAACTAGTATGATCTCTCTGTATGATTTTTTTTGTGTAAACACAAGCACTTTAAGTTCAAGAGAAGCTGTTTCTCCTTCGCAAGAATGATACTTTCTTATTATTTAACATTTAACAATATGCGATCCTTTGATATTATCTATTTCTTTCTCTACATCTACATCATCCACAGAACCGATAACAATCCATCTGTGGAAATGTGTTAAAAGAAACTGATCTACATGAAGCAGCTCGACATTGACTCGAAACGCGCCAGCTTTTCTCAGAGCCAAATGAATAAAATTTATGTGTCGTGCTGATTGACTCGATGCAACCGATTTGGATGAATTGGAAGCACCATCATAAAGAGTCACACTCAAATGATCAAGACTGTGTTCAGGAACAAGGAGAATAGAGACAAACTGATTTGGTTTACAGTTGAAATAATATGGGACGGTCTCATAACTGTAACTGATAACACCAATGATCATAAAAGAACAGTCTAAGACTTTCTTTGACACACGATCTTCATCATATACTTCGACTAAATCAAATGTAGCAGTTTCATTGAATGTCCATGGAACTTCAATACTTTCTTGAGTTGGTGGATTGATAGTATCGTGAGGTTCGAGTGGTCTAAGCGTACCGAAGGGTCCCAAACGACCCAAAATTCCCCATAATCCCAGACCTTGTCAATGTTTGCCAAAATCATTGATTGATGGAAGTGCAGTATGGTAAGATTCATACGACAGTGGACCAAGGGCAGAAAGAGGATGATCGGGAAGAGCAAATAACATGTTGCATGCGAGCCAATCTATATATTGATTCGATACCTCTCTTCATGGTGTTGGATTCCATACACTGTTTCCAATCTGTCTGAGCAGGCCAAGTGAATCACAAACTCTAAACGTAAGGAGAAATGCATTTTTTTTGCTATAGAAGAACAACATTTAATTATCCTATACGACCATTAGTTCCCAAAGCTGATGCAGGCCTCAGATAGAATTCACATGAAGCAAGTCCTCCACAATTCATTGGACGCGGTCGAACCAAATGCATATCTTCATGTAATTGTTCGATACTTGATCCGCTCACATAAGGTCCATGGCATGTTTTTGCCATTGAAGTAATATGAAAAAAATTGACAAGAACAAACAATGAGAGAAAACGTGATATCATTATTGAATTGAAATCGTACAAAGATCGACCGCAATATCAAAGTGAAATAGTAGACTTGTAATCCGAAGATAGGGATCGATGTAGCTGTCAAATGATGTTTTACTTTGTGTAACACTTGAAACTCTGAAATACGTCCTACATAGGTCACTTCGAATGGATATATTTATATAAATTACTATTTTTTATTTCAAAAAAACATTTGACAGATTATTTTCCTAGAAAAACAAAAAAGTGTTTTCAGCTAGATTATACAACTGAGAAACAATGTCGGGAAAAAGGTTCTCAAAGTAAATATTTGTTATCAAAAAAAAAAAACAACAATTAGAATGGTACGACTTTGATCTGTTTTGAGAATGTTTCCTCGCCGATCAACGAGTTTTTTTTTTGTTCATAATAAAGTAAATGAAGAAATTACAGTCAAAAGCAAAGAAACCAGCACTCACCGATCTTTTCCTTGTCGTTTATTGGTACTGTTTCACAGTTGTCGAACTGGTGTCTGCTATGCGACGTTATCCATCTATTTATACTTTTCTTTTTTCTCAATTTGTTTTGAGTAATGAAGCTCTCGTTATCTTCAATTTTTAACTAGATAAATGTAACCTGCGAATAAATCCTCTGCTAATACATATTTGATTTCATCTTTCTATGAATAGGTCGCAAAAAAGCTTTTGTCTTTAGTTTTATTGTGATGCTATTGACGTCATAAGTCAGATGTTACTAAATTAGATTCGTTTTTTTCTTATTCAGTGTCGTCCTTGAAATAAAAATGTAAATGTAACTGGCTCTTTTCGTAGTGTACAAAAAAGTAAATGAAAATATAAATATAACAATAGCAATTATTCAATAGGAGCAGTAACGTCAAACCAGAAAGTTGTATGGAATGATTGAAAAGCTTCTTCAACTATTCATTATTCGTTCTATAATGTCCTTTCGCGACATCCACAACAGCTGCGATGGTGTATGTATGTTTGGAATCATTGAATGGTGAAATATTTGAGCTTCAATAGTTCAATATTTGAATAGTTGAATCCAACTTTCAGTTTGACACTACTGAAGATAAGCTGAATAACATTCAAGTTTTTCTGTTAAATTTCTGTCATGGTCGTTCCAACACAAATAGCATCGGCAATTGGATAGCTATTGGCTATGAACTGTTTTATCGTCAAACAAGCTTGCGCATCAGTCGTCTCAGTTGAATAGAACGAATTATTGGTGGTTGCAATCGTGCTCTTTCCTACTGTCAGACAGAGGAAATGTCATTGAGTAAGAAACAAACTTCTCTCTCGTACTGAAGACAAACGACATCGTATATTTGCCTATCTCTTATCTCCATAACACTTTTTTGTGCTTCTCGTCAAGAAAACATGGTCTCTTCGGATTGACACTAAAATTATACCCATTTCAGAATGACAATTAGTATGTTGACATTTTCTCTTTCTTATCTAGACTTATATTTGTCGAGGCGACAGTAGTGTTTTTTTTTGTTCTTTTTATCTCTTCTCCATAGCTTCAGTAAGCAAAAATAGAATAGTGTTTATCTTATGCTACCACATCGAACAATACTCTCAGCGCATCAATACCATACGTAAAGTAGCAAAGGAAGAAACGGCTAACTTTTTTCTCGGTCTGGACGTAAAGTTTCAGTTTGAGGATGATATTATTTCATTTTCTAACTTTTCTACTTAAAATCGAATTGCCAAGTTTAGAGTAAAGTCATCTTAATCAGTTGATCAAATAGTATGTCTAGAAGGTGATGATAATGTCCCGAAAACGTTCAGGTGAATTTTCTCAACGCACCAGGTCTGATAAATCTTAAGATGTCCTCTAAGTTTTAGCTGGAACGAAGAATGTCTTTTTTTGACATCTTCAAATTTCCAGATATCGAAGTTTCCTGACCTTGTTGAAAAGTATGCACACTTTCTTTCAACTGAAACTTTCAGCACATTTTAAGAACCATTTAGTTTCGTTGCTGCTATTCATGAAAGGCCTCGCCATGTACGGACATTTATAACACAAAATGAATTTTCTAGGATATAGCAGAGCTTCAATAAAGAATCAGTCATTTTTTATCAGCCGTTGCATTTGAATAGATTTTGATCCAATATACAAAGTTAGCAACGGTAGTTTGAGTGTATCTTGAAAGAGATTGAGGAACGAACATCTTTTGCACAATATTTTCCTCTTTGGCTTGTTCTTCTGTTAAGTGATTCTATTTGGTTTACTTTCTTCCTTACTAATTTACGACAATTTCAGGTGACTTTATTTGAATCGGAGCCTAGAAATTTGCAACTTTGCTTAAAAAGTGAATAAAGTCTAACTATTCTTCAGCTAGTAGTTATTTTGAATAAAAGAAAGCGCTTTTGCGAGCATATTGAGCTTTCTTCAAAACTCTTGGGTGGAACAGGTCCGAAACGAACCGAACTTGTTCAGTACAGTTTCGGTTTCAGGCTCTGCCCCGTATCAGTGTATTATGGCTTGCTTTTTATCGGCAAAACGAAGCAATGTTCGAGTGCCATCATATTTCCCTTGTGCGTTTGACTCATATTATCATAAATAATAATAGAAATTAGCCTAGAATGAATAATATTTCCACTGCTTTATTCAAGCAATTGTGTTATTATAAATTTTGACCTAGATGAATATATGATGCGAAATTCAAATATCAAATCGTAATTTTTAACAAAATCAACAGTTTGTGAAATTTAGTAATAGTGAGTTTAAATAAAATATGGTATTTATTACGTTATTCCGTTGTTTTTGATGAATGCATTTCTTTTTCAGAAACGTGAAAATATTTGTACTGACTAAAGTCTCATGGCAAAGTCTATATTTAACTTAACAGGGCGTGTTGCTCTTATTACTGGGGCTGCTCGTGGTCTTGGTTTTACAATGGCTCGAGCACTTGGTGAATTTGGTGCGCGACTTGCGTTGTTTGATATGGACAACAGTAGTTTACAAGCAGCAGCAAAAACATTATCTAATGATGGATTGGAAGTATTAAATTTGCATGGTGATGTTACCAATGTTAGTGATGTAACAAAATGTATCGATAACGTTGTTAAAAAATACAATTCATTAGATATTGTTGTCAATAATGCTGGTATTGTCTGTAATGCACCTGCAGAAGACATGTCATTGAAGGATTGGCAACGGCAAATTGATGTTAATTTAACAGGCGTGTTTCTTGTTTCACAAGCAGCTGGTCGGCAAATGATAAAACAAAAAAGTGGTAATATTATTAATATTGCATCGATGTCTGGTCTTATTGCCAATGTTCCACAACCCCAATGTTCTTACAATGCATCAAAAGCTGGCGTTATATTATTAACAAAATCTCTTGCTTCTGAATGGGCACAACATAATATTCGTGTGAATTCTATATCACCTGGTTATATGAATACAAGTTTGACAGCGAAAGGACTGCAAAATCCTGAATGGGCTCAACAATGGCGAAGTTTGACACCAATGAATCGTGTTGGTGAACCACATGAGCTTGCCGGTCTAGTAGTTTATTTAGCATCAGATGCATCCAGTTTTGTAACTGGTAGTAATATACTAATCGATGGTGGATACACTGTGCGTTAAATGTTCATTTTTAAGAAAACGCTGTGGCTAAAGACTAGATGCTGCTAATACTAAATTGCTATCAGTATTTTTATCTTAAATGAATAAAATGTATTCTGAAAGATGACATTGTGTTCTGAGAAATAAATTTCGTCTAAATTTTGTATCATCGAAGGCTTGCCAGACATAAAGAAATTCAACGAAAATTCTGCTTATTTCGTGTTGTTTGAGTTCGTCATCATAGTAGAACCGTTCTTCAATAGACAAAATATTTTCTTCTTCACTTCGAATCGTGGCAATACAAGATCGTCGAAGATTTAGATGGATCACTGTCGCGTTGACACTAAATGCATCTCGACAACACAGAGATTACGTCACGATCACAAACGATTAGTGATATTTAGGATTGTTCATCAGGAAGTAGGCATCGACTAACGCAATGAATCTCTAATACGGCTCTCCGCCTTAATGTGTTACTTCAGACATTAAGTATTCATTTCAAAATTCGAAACAAACGTCGCTGTCATGTTGTATAGACTTTAGAAATGTATACACTAAGCACCAACTGATATGTTTCCCGTGATAGTTTTCTCTGTCTTATTTTGAAACTAACCGTGCATCTTAATATCCAGCTTCAAACTACCACTATCACATGTTTTACAAACTAGCAAGTCCCTTCTTTCTTGTGGCGAAATCAGGGACGGTGCGAAGAGGTCGGAGCAGAGGTTGGGGGACAGTCCTAAAATCGGAGAAAGTCAAAAAGTGTTCTCTAAACTGAAATTTTCTCCGAATCAGAATTTTATAATATACTTCTCCAAAATCGGAGAAAATTCTCTATTCATTTTTGTCCAAAATTGGATTTTTCCGGATTCATAGAAATATATTCAACACTATTGTATAAATTCGCAGAAAATTCAAGTTTGGAGAACATTTTTGGGCGATTTTCTCCGATTTTGGAGAAATATATTATACAAGTTTCTCCAAAATCGAAGAAAATCCAAGTTTGGAGGAAACTATTAAACAGTTTTCTCCAATTTTGGAGAAATTTATGTAATATATTTCTCCAAAATCGGAGAAAATCGCCTAAAAATGCCCTCCAAACTTGAATTTTCTCCGAATTTAGAGAAAACTATCAAGTATATTTCTCCAAAATCTGAGAAAATTGCTTTGCAAATTCTCCAAAATCGGAGAAATTGTCGTAGTAAATTCTCCGAAATCGGAGAAAGTACACTGTAAAAAAAAGGTACACTACCGAACCACCCAAAAAGGTTTCGTAGGTGTCTAGACGCTTCCAAATGCATCCAAAAGCTTAAAAAAATGGTTGTTGAAATCTACGAAACCTTAAAAGGATCGGGGCGCGAGCACACTTTCCGAACCATCTCCTACGAAACCTTTTTAAAGTTCCGTACAGCGAAAAAAGATTTCGTATTTTCTTACGAAACCTTTATAGTTTCCTACTAAACCCTATGGTTTCGTACAAAACCGTAGTGCGAAACCATAGGGTTTAGTAGGAAACTATAAAGGTTTCGTAAGAAAATACGAAATCTTTTTTCGCTGTACGGAACTTTAAAAAGGTTTCGTAGATTTCAACAACCATTTTTTTAAGCCTTTGGATGCATTTGGAAGCTTTTAGACACCTACGAAACCTTTTTGGAGGGTTCGGTAGAGTACCTTTTTTTTACAGTGTACCAGCCAAAATTTTCTGGAGCAGGAGAGAGGTGACCCCCCTATCCCCCCGGTGGCGCCGTCCCTGGGCGAAATAGCAA